CGACGGCGCTATGGGAATGATTCATTAAGCACTCAGTGACTCGGTCGGAACGTAGTTGATCAACAATTCTGACAGCAGGAGCGATCGTGCTCGGCACAATGGGGGAGGCAGGGTCAGTTTCGTGCTCGAGATACCCTTTCGAACTGTATCTCGTGTGAATGACTGTGAAATGCAGGCGATAAGTAATCACAGATCGACGAACCTCTTATCTAGATAGAAATTTTCAATAACGAATACAAATAAAATTTTAAAACCTATCAACAGGCTTAAATTCCATTATTCGTTGATTTAAGATGGTATTTTAAAATCAAACCCCAACGTATTAAATCTGTGCTTCGAACAAACGAGTGCTCGACGAATTGAACAAGCTGAAGGGCTTATCGAAAGTCGGGCAATTCTCCGTCACAATGCATTGTTACGCAGGACAAGCCAACGCACAGCGCGGCAATGCCCTTTAAGTAACAATACGCGTAACGTTACGTAAACAGTGAGCGTTATTAATTCCAAGGAATCGTGCCCCGTCGACGCACAAAGGCAAAGATTCCGAAGCGAAAGATCCGAGAGAGAGCCCGTGCAATTATTAACTGAAATTAATTCAAGCTGATTTCCACAAGAACGAACGTTTGTTTGTTAAAAAAACAAAAACGTCGAATACCATCCTGGCCGATACAAGCGTTTCTTTATTATTGCTTTCAAAGCTTTTGGTCGGACGAGTTAGTTCCTCCTCGACGAGAATCGATAATGCCTATCTATTATAGATAACGAATGTCTTCGAGACTGTTAAAGTTAACCAACGAATACACCACGGGGGAAATATAAACAAAATATTTCAAAGAATCTTTGTGAATATTCAGTGTACTTAAATAATTGATCACGGATAATATAGTATACAGGGTGTTCGGCCAACCCTGGGAAAAATTTTAATGGAGGATTTTAGAGGCCAAAATAAGAGGAAAACCAAGAATACCAATTTGTTTATGGAGGCTTTGTTAAAAAATTATTAACGTTTAAAGTTTCGCCTGTACTGAATTTTTTTCTCGAAAATGCGCAGGATTTCGGGGGTATGTCTATCCACCAAAATTGATTGTAATTGACCCCCGCAACTAAAAATAATTTTTCCAGAACGATTTGAAAGTTTTTAATTTTGTCGAAAAATTTCACATCTCGAATTTTTTTCTCGAAAGTGGGTAGGATTTCGAGGGTATGTATAATGACCAAAAATACTTGTAATTGACCCCTCTAACTAAATATAATTTTTCCAGAACGATTTGAAAGTTTTTAATTTTGTCGAAAAATTTCACATCTCGAATTTTTTTCTCGAAAGTGGGTAGGATTTCGAGGGTATGTATAATGACCAAAAATACTTGTAATTGACCCCTCTAACTAAATATAATTTTTCCAGAACGATTTGAAAGTTTTTAATTTTGTCGAAAAATTTCACATCTCGAATTTTTTTCTCGAAAGTGGGTAGGATTTCGAGGATATGTATAATGACCAAAAATACTTGTAATTGACCCCTCTAACTAAATATAATTTTTCTAGAACGATTTGAAATTTTTTAATTTTGTCGAAAAATTTCACACCTTCTCGAATTTTTTTCTCGAAAGTGGGTAGGATTTCGAGGGTATGTATAATGACCAAAAATACTTGTAATTGACCCCTCTAACTAAATATAATTTTTCTAGAACGATTTGAAATTTTTTAATTTTGTCGAAAAATTTCACACCTTCGTGAATTTTTTTCTCGAAAGTGGGTAGGATTTCGAGGGTATGTATAATGACCAAAAATACTTGTAATTGACCCCTCTAACTAAAAATAATTTTTCCAGAACGATTTGAAACTTTCCATTACATCGAAAAATTTGTCCACCTACTCGAATTTTTTTCTCGAAAATGCGTAGGAATTCGGGGATATGTCTATTCACCAAAAATGATTGAAATTGACTCCTGCAACTGGAAATAATTTTTCCAGAACGATATAAAATTTTTCAATTTAATTGTTAATAACTTTTTAACGAGGCCTCCATCAACAAATTGGTATTCTTGATTTTCGGCTTATTTTGGCCTCCGGAATCTTTCATTAAAATTTTTCCCATAGGTGGACGAACACCCTATATAAGTACATATAGATATATAAAAAATTGTTTGTATTAACGAAATTATTTAATTTATTTTTCTCGCCTCGTAAATCGAGGCGTGTACTCGCCATCGCGATTTCGATCGATATATTTCGACCCGTATGCACCGCGATACCGGAACTTTCTACGCGAACTGCTCTCGTCCGTTTCGATGGTTTTCGACTGTCGATAAATACTTCGTCGAAGAGTGTTTCGTTTCCCATGTCCGTCCAACGCAACGATCGCGTGTGCAAATTGTTCGCGAGTGTTTACGAAGGGGGAAAGATTTGTTTATTTTAAATTTACAGGTTTTATCTCGCAGAGAAGCAAAGAACTCGAAATAAACTTAAAAGACGGAATCAGTCGACGCGGCACGCGACGAAATTATTGGACACGTACGAACCGGCCTTAAGGGACAGCGGTCAAGGATAAAAGTTCGAGCATAATCTGTTGAGATTGGTTTCTATTTATAAATGTTGCTGTTAGTTTTTGAACGCACTTCGAGTGTTTCACGTTACGCTCCCGTGTCCAGTTCCACGAATGCAACGGTCCAGCGTAAAACTAAAAAATGGCGCGTCGCGTTGCAGGGTGAAGGTGACCCGAGCGAACGTCCGAGTTCGACACGCAGGAGACTCGATGAGTGGAAACAAATCCTAGAGTATTAGCCGGCTAATGCCAGCCATCTCGATCAGAATTATTGTTAGGAAATGTTAACGTGATAAATTAGCGGCGTACGAAATAATATATTCGTAACACGCACGGTACAGACGTATAATTCTCGATGATTTAACGTATCGTGCTATTATGCCGGGCAAGAATGCTTCGTAAGGTTTCGAACCTTCCACGAAAGCATTAAGAACTATTATGTTCGCGCGCATGAAAATATTTCTGCAGAGTTTGAATGTTACGGGTACGGTATATTCGTGCATTATACTAATGCTTTCCCGTGAAGAATGAAAAGCTGCATCGATTGGAATACTTGGAACTAACCGGAGGGGGGTTCCACTGGAAAGAAAAAAAATGAAATTGTAATTTACGTAAGTGCATAATCGTTACAGAGCATCTAACCCGTTTAAAAAGGATCGGAATTAAAAAATACAAATTTCACCTGCTAACTTTAACAACCTCGTATTGTGCAAGTTTGCATAATCATAAAAAAAAAACAAATGAATTTGAATGAAGCATCGGGAAAAAGTAGCCTGAACTTGTCTTTCGATTGCATTGAAAATAAGTGGAGAAGAAAACTGTATTAAATTTGTATTAAAATCTAAAACCAATACCTCCTATTTAAAAATTTCCATTTCACTTTCCTTTTCATTTAAGAGCGTGTGGGCCCTCGCCAATTTATTCTCAGGTGATAATTTGAGAAATGATGCATGAAAGGACAGAAGTAGCTACCTTGTTACTCTAAAGAAACAAAAAGAATTCGTTTTTTAAATAAACCGTCACCGGGGGGTGAAAAATGGATTTTATACGACGATCGAAAACAATGAGGACAATGGCTAGGTAGGCAAGAACGGACAAAACACACGCTGAAACCGTCGCTTCGACCAAAAAGATAACGGTCACTGTTCGGTGGTCATATGGGCTCTTAAAAACAGGAACGACGACGGTTGCAGAAATATATTGCATAAAAATTGGAACAGACGCGTTTATATATTGCAAAAAAGCAATTTGCATTAACGAATGAACGGGAACAAACGTTGTTAAGCGACAATGCAGAACCTTCCTCATCAAGGACGATAATAAAAAACTGAGAAAATCAAATTTAACCCTCCAATAATTCTCTGATATTCCGCTGCCAGATTTTTTTGTAAATCAATTCGTCATCCAGTCTGCGATTCGAAATAAAACGATAAAACGAAAAAAGTTTTTATGGTTTCCTGCTCACAGCCCAGCTCGCACTGTCAACGTATTTCCAATAGCTGTATTATGAATATGACTGGCAATTACGAACTGTTTAATAAAGTTGTATTATAGAAATTTACTGTAACAAATAGCACGATACATTGTGCCTATATTGCTTTAAAATGTCGTGTTATTAAACAACCTTCCTTTGTAATATATTCTGTTTTTCAATACTCTTTCTAATTTTCTGATAGAAAAAATGAATTAAAATAAGAATTCAACATGGATAAAATAATCCAGAGCCATTACTTCAAGTACAGAGCGCTTATAAAACACGCTGTGTCTTGTAATAATGGAAATCGAACATAATTACTACGTTAAGTTGTTTTACAAATCATTCCCCGCGATAAATAATAATACGATTAATGATAAAACAAATTACAGCGATATAAACACAATGTACCACGTACAATTGTTATGAAACGGCTAATAATTGCCACCAGATTCGTAATTCAAGTATTGGAAATGCGATCTACAAAGTGTGGATATATTCGGACCTACCGAGAACACGTAGGGAACCAATAATTAACGCTGTATCGTTCTGCATTGTCGTGCAAACGTGCCTCGCGATGCCCGAGCGCCGCACGAGATCGAGTAAACAAATTCACGCAAATCGCAACGAAGCGTAAACAACGAGAGGAGATCGCGTCTCGCGCGGACTTGTTTGGGATTCGAACGCGCTCCGAAGTCGGGATACGTGCGAGAATGCGACGCGATCGCCCGAACAAACTTCCGCACGCGAATCCCGCGAGAAAAACGTTTCGAAATATGCACCGTGAACAACGGACGATCGTGCGGTGGGCCCGTTTGAAATTTCATCGAACGCGCGTTCGACGAGTGCATGGGCAGGATCGCGCGAGGAGGAAGCACGCGAGACGTCGGAAATAAACGGGTAACGGCGATCGTTCGATCGCCGGAATCGGTGGCAGGACACAGAAGGAAAGGCTGCTACGAAAGCAATCGGTGTTGTACTCACCTCGGTAGCGGCGTTGCATCCCGCGAGAATGACGGCCGTGCTGATCAGAATCCAGTATATCCTCGGTTGCATCTTTCCTCCGGTTTCCGTTGGGCCCGTTCAAGAGCCCCCTGGTTCGATCACCGCGTCGACTCCGGGAAACCCAAATGAAAAAGTACGCGTACGTCCCAGGCAGGAACAAACCACCAAAAAAATCCACCGGAGCAACAACGCGACACACACCACACTGATCGATGAACCGCGAGACACTGAGGGCGCGACGATCGGCCGCTTTCGTCGCTCGGCCGCCGCCATCTTGGAACCGCCGGACGCGCGAACTGGCGGCGCCCGACGCCAACAGTTTCAAGCAGCCTTTCGACGCTGCGCGAGAAATTTAAATCGATTTTAATGGGTCGTTTTTTCGCGGGTTTTCCCGCGCTGGGAAACACGTTCGCGCGTAAAAGTCCTGAAATACGACGCGTTCGACGATTAAAATTAATTTATTGCGCGAGAAATACGGTTGAAAGTGGTTATTGGTTCGATGAAATAGGTTGTTGCGTGAAATTTTCTGTTGTGCTCGTGCTCGTGCCGTGTTCAAAGATGCTTTGATAATCGTTCGATTGCTTGGGTACGTGAAGAATTTATTGTTACACTTTGAAAAGTTCCATGTTGATATCAAACCTAAATGCATGCTGTAAATAAGGCTAATCAAAGGGGAATTCGGTTTTTATGTATTCAAAGTTTGTTTTCGAAATTACTGTTTAATACGTCGATTGCAAGACCAACGTACATTAAGCAAATTGGCGCCAAAAGTTTCTTCACGAATAGTAGGAAATTCGAGATTGATTTATTTTCACTTTCATTAATCATATATGCTTATCTGACCTTCAAGTGTCATACATAGGTAATAATATATGTTACTCAGATGGATTAATAATCCATTATCGATTCATGTTTGAATTACAGTGCTTACAATCAGATTTATACTGCTTTTTAACAAAGTAACACTATAGAAACTAAAAAACTTCCAGTTTAGTTATAATATTTAGTAACAAGGTTCCTGATATTAATTTATATGAAAAATATTGGATAAAACTTACTTTAACTTGTTCCAAGTCGTATAACAACTATCAAAATGTTCCTCTGAAGTTCTGATAAAGATTGCTATCAGTATTATAAGAAATAATATAGAATCTTTTTCCAGGAAGTGTGGATCCTGAAGGAAGTGGACAAAGATTTGGAAAATGATCAACACATGCAACGGGGAAGTGGAGGACAACGTAATGGTGAGTGCTAAATATTAAGTTCGTTACACGATTACTTAAAAAGGCAAGTTATGTTCTTTATTTGCATATTTTGTAACCTTTATGATTCTAGAATATGTAATTTTAAAGTTAACAAGCATTATTGACATTCGATTATAAAATTATTTCACAAAAAGAAAAAAAAGTATCTATCAAACATATATTGGAAAAATAACGTATACATAATAACTGTGCACAATAGTGATGTCACTTTTTATCGCTGGCCGATAAATCTTTGTCAAGACCTTTCAAAAATCGAAGATTTTCGTTTATGTTGCGATTGTATTCCTCAATTTTGTTGCGCATCGTCGTAACTTCATCTTGCATGCATTTCACCTCGTCCTGCATTTTTTGCTTCACCATTTCTAGTAATTCTTTGTCCTAATAAGTAAAATTTTTATTCGTCAGTATCATTAGATACATTATTTATAAAAGATATTACCTGTTTATAATAATATTCGGCCTCGAAAGCAATATTATCGTTTGTTGTCTTGTTATTATTGGAATCACTATTTTTTCTTTTAAAATATTTGAAACTATTGACAAACGAAGAAATTAACATAACCATAAAAAGGAATATTCGTGATCGTCACTATATTTTTGAAGTATCATACTCACCTACTAGTTTCGTACGATAAAGTTCGTAGAATATATCGGAACATTATGTGGAAAAAGCATTAATTTGTCAAAAAAAGTCGTGCAAGTTTAATTAGACAGAAATTTTGCCTTTCTGTCAGAAACGTAAAAACAGTCGAATGCGGAGATTATCGGAAAAAGAATCAAAATAATCGATTTCTACCTTTTATTTCACGTTCGAGACGTATAAATTAGTTTTGGTATCAATAAGTACAAACGAATGAAAGCTGTTTTTCCTTTAATACGTATTAAAAATCAATGTATTTTATTCTATTATGTAACATTTTGTAACAAAAGAAAGAAAAAAGGAATACAGACACGATGATTCTACCATCTTTACTATCTGCAATGCATGATATTATATAGTTATAAAGGGCAACTTCACACTTCTTGAAAAATTAGGAATATTGCACCGGCAAAAATCAGTTCATTTTTCATTCATATCTGTCATTCTTGATTTGTGACGGTTTATAGCTTCTTGATGACGCTTGATTTGTTCCTCGTGGAAGGAGATCTCGTCGTGTAGATCTTCTTTCAGCTTTTGAAGTTGTTCCTTTTGCTAAAGAAAGAAAAACATTATATATAAATCAGCATATACATAGAACAGCGAATTAATGCAACCGACCTGATTATAAAAATATTGATCCTCGTGGGCAGCTTCCATTTTGCCAAAGGATCCACCAGCTTCGCGAATACTACCACCACCTCCACCACCCTTACCAACACCTGATCCGCGTTCACCAGACATTCTTACTTGGCTGAAAGAAGCAGATGTAATAATGTTTTACACTGCCAAAAAAAAGCTGTGGCGCACTGGTAGCAGTTAAAAATACTCTCAGTGGCCATTTATATCATCGATGCATCGAATAGTTGACCAATTTAATGGAAGTCGTTCACAGCTTCGAGTATCGACATTAGAATTAATCAGAAATTCGAAACAGTATTAATACATAAATATTTTTGGATAATCTTGTGTTACATGGGTGTTACATAATTTAAGTGCACATATTAATTCCATAATAAGTCTTAGATATATTAAAATTCGTTGAATCGGTTCGAACGGAACAAGAATTATTTATTTCGTACTACGATATTAAAAGAGAAAACTCAGAATTCAATATACGTAGTTGCAAAGTTACGTAGTGCAAGGTGTGGAAAAAGCCGGGGTTGGAGCAAACGTCGCAGATACAATAATTTCGTACAGTGAAAGAAAAAAGTATCCCGTGGAAGATATTCGTTAATACCTTAATGAAGCCATATTCCGTGAAAATGTAAGAATAACTCGTTGCATTGTTCTTGATGGAGAAATTTCAAAGTGCAGCAAGTATCGAAGGATTCCAATGGAAACCGTACAATGCTATAAGTAGTAGAGGGGTGACGCATCTCTCTTTCCAGCACGAGTTTCGTGCAATAACCGTACCGGCGCTCTCTTGGCGGCAATATTAATTTCATTTTTATCACGAACACGCAAATTCGACGCAATGATTAAGAAAAACGTACGGGATAAATTAAAGGCTATCGAGTGAACTCGGTGAAAACAGTGGGTGCTTAAAAATAAGCCTCGCGTTAATATCGAAGCAAATACAAACCTGTAATACTCGGTAGCTTGATTCTCTATCATTCGCCTCTTAATCTCAGACGTTTTCAGCTCGTTGATGGCGGTCTGTTTCTGCAATTCGGCACGCTCTAGATCGATATTTAACATTTTTAGCTTCAAATCGTGCTCCCGTTGGGCCACCTCCAGCATCCACGTTGCCCTTCGAGCGGATTCCTCGTAATCGTCGATCCGATCGTTTCTGTTCTTCGAAGCGGATATGTTCTCTTCCGCTAACGGATCGAATTATGTTCGGATAAATAGTCCATGCTCGTTCGAATAATTGCAAGCGTATATTTTATTCCACGTTCGGTTACAAATTATTATAGGAAATTAAAAGAGTACCATTATCAAGATGGCGACCCATGGTGTGCACGGATCGCGCTTTTTGCTCGGCGAGGTCCATCGGTTCATCCTCGGAGATCCGTGGTCGTTTATTTTCCAATTGATCGGATCTTTTTCTGTAAATTTCGCCCTGGCTAGCTTCCTCCTCCGTGTTGTAGTCGTCGCTATCCGGCTCGACTTTAATTTCGTTGACTATCACTTCCGGCGTGGACGTCGTCAACTTGTCCAGGATTGCCTGCAGGCTCGTAGAGCTCTCGCTACCTTCCTGGCTGTTCTCGTCCGAACGGTCCCCATCCCCGTCGTTCTTCTTCGCCTTCTCCATCAACCGCCATACCTCGATCGAGAGGTTCGACGGTCGACACTTGGCCGCCTCCTCGGGGCCCAGACTTTTCACCTAACACGTTGTATTAATACGAATATTACAGATTAAATATTTAATTTTACATGGACATATATATCCTGAACAAATACGTTCTTCATATTTGCATACACCACTGATTGCATAAAATCCGCAGTCTAGTGGTGTATTTTGTTTCCATCGGTTTAGTTGGATACTAGGCGTATTTAGATATTTACGTGATTTTATGTATATATTTCTTTGAAATTAAATTTTATATTTTTTTATTTAATATATTCAAATATATTTTTTTATTTAATATATTAAAATATATTAATTATTCAATATATTTAAATATTCAATTTTTCCCACTTCGTTAATATTTCGCGCGTCATTTGTTCCGAGTAAACACGTTCATAAAGGCGTGTTCACAAAACAGTGTAAATCAGCAAGGAAAACAGAGTAAACTTCGGTTTACTCAAACTCCACTTGAACTACCCCTCCGAACTAAAACTGTTCTCTAACTTTTGTATCGAGTTCCACCGCTATTGGAACTCGATACGAGTGTATCGTGTTATACACAGAGCATCCCCTAAGGTGGCTTCTTTTCTCGGACAAAAACCTGGCCGATATTGGAGATTTTTTTTTTTCCAAATTTTGTACCAATTAATATACCTAAGAAGACATTACACGAATTTTTTCGAAATTGATACACACTCTGTACTAATTTATTTATGTTCATCGTCGAATGTAATTATTTAAATTGGTATAGAACGAGACGCAGTCACCTTCTCCGCGAAAGTGTACATTTCCATCCTGGCCTGGGCCTTCATCCGCCTCCATTGCTCCCTCATCCTAGTGATGTCCCTGTCGGTGGAGAATCGTCCACGAAACGCGCAGTGAATCTGCTGCCACGCTAGGGTCTTCATCGCCGAGGCAGTGGCATCGATCTTTTTGTTCTCGATCGCGGCCACGTGCGCCTTGATCAACGCGAACAAAGCGTTCTTCTCCTCGGGGACCCAGTTCTGCGTGCGCTCTCTCTTCTTCAACAGCACCGTCGTCGCGCTCGACATCGTTCAAACCTTTCACCACCTCTTCCCCTCCGAGCCGCAAGAACGATCGAGAAATTCACTTCCCTGCTTTCCTCCAATTATTGCGTTTGAACGACGCCCGTACCGTCGCCTCCCGTCGATTAGGCGATGTTTACACACGTTTACTTGTTTAACCGCTGGTTTAAAACAGTCAACTGTCTAACCGGCGTCGACGCGCGCATACAACGTGATCGAAAAGCACGCGTCAGTTTCAGTCGTCGTTCGAGAATCGATGGTCAGCTTCATTCTCTCTATCTTACGTCCTTTGTTCCTCTATACTTTTCAATCTCGTAAATTCCTATTTACCATCATCTGTGACTTTAGAATTTTTGTAAATCATATCCCTGATAATAATTTCTCATTTAAAAAATCGTCCAAAATATTAATACCCCCTTGAGAAACGTCACCGTGAGTGTTCGTGAAAAATATTTATGTACGCGTTATTCCCGAATATTTGGACAATAGACCACGAGTATTTCGATAATTCCTACTTCACTCCGTCCCAAACGATTTATTTTCTAAATCCCCGTCGTGTCAGTATCCGAGGACGCGGTGAATCGATTCGATCGTCTTCAGAAGCCTCGGACTGTAAGTTTCACGGGGCCTTTGGTGGCTCGTAAGCGTCGCGATCGCCCAGCGTCGCGTCGTTCAGTTAAACCCGAACTAAGGAACGACTAAACGTCGGCCATTTTGGCACGGTACTAGCTAGGCGCTCGATATTAACAAATCCTCGATTCCTAGCTGGGGTGAGAGAAGCGGCACGAGGGAGGGAGACAGAGAGGAAGGTGGGGAGGGTGAGAAAGGGCGCGAAAGAGAGAGGGACGGTCCAACGTTCCGCGCAACGCAAACATTGTTTCGTTTCATTCCGCGATCCGTCGTAGAATCATATTGCGCCGATTCCAATATTTCGGTCGTTTTATTGCAATTGCTCCCGCTCCCCTCCCTCGCCCGCGTCCACGATTTTATCCCTTCTCTGCCCCCCCCACCCTCCACACACCCCTCTCTGCACCCTTTCACCCTACGCGTTGCGTGGACGTTCCTCGATCATTGATCTTCCGGCTTAATCCCCGACGGTCTTCCGGCGCACGTTCCTCGCGCACGGAGAACTTATTTTGCGCGGCAAAAGAAAGTTCAACGACCAAATTACCAGTAGAAACGCGATTCGCAGGCAGTGCAACACTTTTTTGTAATCCAATTTAAACATCGTAGCAAATAGCGAGACACACTTTCAAACCAGTCTCGCGTGCTTTATTTTATATATTTTATAATCACAAAGGCCGTACGCTCGTTTCAGTTTCAAATTAGTTTTTAACGTAATATCTCGAATTACAAAGCATCAGTTTATTACCATCAACCGCGGTAAATCGTGTTTTTTTAACGTTCCGATGGTCGTACATCATTTAATATTTTAAACTCCGTGGGACCGTTCGTTACAAATGTTTTAAATAAATGAAAAATGTACGCAATGCAAAATCAATATTTCGTTATGGAATTGAAGTTAAACGAGTCCGCGATGAATGTTCCCCGTATCTCGAGTTTCCTATTTTCCATGTAGATAAATAAATTCCGACGTGTTTGCTCTGCGTGGATAAATAAATAAAGCCCGCGTTTGCTTTCGTTAACTATAAAATCGCGTGTATTAATTATTTTTCAGATACGTAGCTTTTGAATTATTGCTAACGCGTCGTAACGTTGCACTAATTTATAGGACCCGGCGATTGTTCGGAATGGAAATTAATTAGTCTTGTAATAAATAATGATAAATTATTCTTTGTATGTAAATTGTCAAGGAAATAAAGCTACGGCAAAAACACGACGTCTCGTCCTATATTTCGAGACCTCGTTACGAATTAATTCGCGGTTAGGGTAACACGTGCATCCAAGTAGGAAAGCGTTCCACAATTAATTATTATGATTCTACGCGTGAAATTAGTAGATTTTTAAAATATTAACACATAGCTATGCGGTTGTAATATTATTGTTATAAATCTTTCGGAAAAAATTTGTTCAGCTCTTAAACTTCTTCCATACTCAATTAAAATAAGTCAAGAATAAATAAGTATTCGTTTTTAGTAGTAAAACCTTGGTTGACCAGTTGACTTTGTTGCAAGTATAGTTCTACTCTTCAGTAAGGCTTCGTCTCAGCCGAGATTAGACATTTTTCTATTTACCATTTGAGAAACCATTGTATCTGTAATTATACCATGTGTTTTACGTAAACGAATAACGAGTCGATCCCAAGAACAAAGGAACTTTTTGTCGTGCTGTCGCGAGGCGTCTCCGATGTTTGGAACCCCAGCGATGACGTAATCGAAAAGAAAACAGTCGAGAGCTGGAACGGGTCAATCCTCTTTATTTCGCGTTTCAGGTTTCAGGTTTCAGTTTCGTTCCAGACACCGGACAGATAGGACTCGTCGTGTAGTCAATTTGTATTTCTTATTTTTATTCTCGATTAAATAATTATCTACTAAGAACGTGCGTATTGTGTTCTCAACCATAAATTTTCAACAATTTTATAGGAATGGGGACCTTGGAAGAAGGGGATAGTCGAATGGGGGATCCGGGTTTCGTGAAGTCCCAGTCTTATTGTTAGTTCGAATCCCCATCGGTATGCGTTAAACCGTTTTCTCGTTACTCGGTAATCCGTCCAGTGCGTTCGTCGCGCCGCTGTGTGGTTGTGCAACGAGCCACCGTTCCATATAAGACACACCATCGCCTCTTCCTCCGCAAAACCACTCGCGATGGTGTCGTATTGTGGGTGAATAACACACGCCTTCGGTTACCATAACCTAGTCAGCCTTACACCGCCGTAGCGATCTCCGCTCGCGACGTTTCCAAACGTTATTCTTCGCATCGAAGAAGATCCGTATCGCTTACCAAAATAAAGCCAGACACGTCTGTCATGGAAACAAAGGGATAGTTGTTTTCGTCGAGACCGATGAAACGTTTGACGAGTGTATCCGTCCGAATAAGTTATTATGCGAATGCACGTTACGTAATGGCGGATCGCGTGCCGATCGGATGAGCCCGACCGTAGCTACCAATCGTCGTGGTTGTCCGTGGATTAGTGAGAGCAATTTAGAGAAATATCTTTTTCTTTCACCCTCGCTCGAGTGCGCGAGGAGTGGGGGCGTGTTTGATCGGTGGGATGTTTCGTGGATAGATCAGTCGTATTCCTTGGTGCGTATCGTGAGAACTTGTCGATCGGTGATCTTGTGGGTTTACGGTGTTCCGGATCTATTTTCATCCTGCCAGAGTAAGTATGAACGTATCGGTCGGTGGAAACGGAACGTCTGGCATGATACCTAGGGTGGTGGGTAGCGATGGACTCGAGTCGTTTGGAATCAGTTCAAATTTAATTACTGGAAATTAAAATCATTTTATTACTGTAATCCCACGACTATGTAATTTTTATTAGAGACTACGAATGGGACATTTTGACCACTTCGGTAGTTCTAGTGTTGATACCATATTTAGTGAAATCTTCACTTCTGTTGATAGTCAGAATTTAGCGAGTTTCGTCAAGTTAAGAAACTTTCAATAGAGTCATAGTTCGTCCAGTTAGTTTGAATCTGAAAATAATTTTCTCCAAGTTTTGAAAAGCGTTTTAGAGGTCCTTTATGGAGGTTAGTTTTCTTCGTGAAATTAATAAAAGAGTGTTGATACGACGTCTTGTAGAAATGACTTATATAAACAGAATCATTATGCTAGCTGGTCCAATATGGCGGCGCACAAGCCGGACCTGTACTTTATGTAATCAACCTGACCTACAGGCGCTGCATAAGACAGTAGTGGTGGAAGGGCTTTGATCAGCATTGCAACAAGGATTCTTGAATAATTACGGAGCTTCTTACGCCATGAAGACAAAGACACGACCTTCGACGACATTTTTCTTTAATTTTTCATTTTCTCGTCGGAGAACCGCAGATCGAGTCCTTGCGCGGGATTCCATATAAAGCTCGCGGTACAGGGAAAACGATTCCACTATTTTCTCAGTCTCGACAGATGCAAAAAGGAAAACCAAGTGTTTGTGAAATTTAATTAAATTCGATTGAAAAAATTTACATAGTCGAAGGGTTACAAATGTCGATTCGGTTAAACAAAAATTCGAAGAGAATTATTTATTTGATTTAACGTTTTCGGTACACTGTAAAAGCCAGAATATAAATTTAATTTTTAAGCCTGATCTCGAACGTTTAGCGTTAGTTTTTGTTTTCTAAAATTTTGTCCAGATGAAAGGAGGGGTGGAGTATCCAACGTTGCTTCAAAATTTACCGAAAGATTTGTGTCTAACGTGGAAGAACATATCGTACACGGTTCAGAAAAGAATCAATGGCGGCAGTCTACGAGCGATTTTCGGTTTGCAACACACCGAATTCGTTCAGCTGCTCAACGAAGGTACATTCGAAATTAAATAAACTGAAAGATGGAGTTAAGAAATCTGACATCGTTCGGTTAATATTCTGTTCTACTTTTAGTCAGCGGTATAGTTAATTCTGGAATGTTGATGGCTATCATGGGATCAAGGTAATATTATGGGGGTTTCTTAAATAATTTCTATCGTTATATATTATCTTTGTTTATATTTTCCGAATGAAAAATTGACCGATGTCCCGAACGAACTATTAAATAGAACAGTGGTTCCCAAACCGTACTCAGTGAGATATTTCAAAGTTTGCTTCAAACTTTTTTACAATATAATATCCGATCCTCGTAACATGGCAAATCGCTGGAGTACTATAAATAATTAAAAACAAAGTCCATACTCGCCGGAACGTACTGTATAATCTGTCATATTTAAATCCGGTCTATCAAACTCCAATCAATCGTCGAGAAAGGAAAAATGTGTAGCTCTCGAACAGAAATAATAAATGGATTGTTACGACCACAACCAACGTTATCGATCTCCTTCACAATGGTCTGTATACTTTCCAACAACAAACACAGCAAAATTCGAAGACAAAAAAATATTTTCAATTCAATTAACCTCAAATTTCACCAATCTTCGACAAATTAAAAATAGAAAATTTTTAATATTTTTTAAACCGTCGAGCAGAGAAAGTTGGGGAACCTCTGATTCGTTTCTGCGGGGGCAAAGGGAGCAGAGATAAAATTGGAGATCTCGAGGGTACAGGTCGTAGAAATTACGAGTGCTTAGCATTCCAGGGTTAATCGTTTCCAGCGGGGGAAAATGTCCTCTTTATTGAAAGAAGTTCTCGGTTTGCAGCGGCGCTGGGAAAACTACTTTGCTCGCGACCATCAGCCGACGCGTCAAAGGTTCATATTTCTTCCTATTTTTATACTTAGCTACACAGAGTGTTGAATCCAACTCGAGAAAAATTTTAATGGGAGATTCTGGGGACCAAAATAAAACGAAAATCAAGAATACCAATTTGTCGATCGAGGCCTCGTTAAAAAGTTATTAACGTTTAAAGTTAGCAGCGTGCATGCGATAGCGTGCCCCGTTCTACGAGCGTAACTTTAAACGTTAATAATTTTTTAACGAAATCTCGACCAAGAAATTGGTATTCTTGACTTTCGTCTTATTTTGGTCCCTAGAATCTCCCATTAAATTTTTAAATCAAAATCAAAACTTTACTAGTCTCGAAAGTAAGGACATTTCGAATTAACTTTGCTTGAATAAGAAACTTCAAGATGAACCTTTGAGAAATGATTTCTGATCGATAGGTAGAGCCACGGGCGAGATCTTGTTAAACGGAAAGCCGATAGACACCGGTCAAATGATAAGGATATCCGGATTCGTCCCTCAAACGGATCTGGCGGTCGAGTCGCTGACGGTCCAGGAGCACATGCAGTTCATGGTTGGTCCAATTAGAAGGTCGCGGTTCACCTGTCGCGCCGACCGCGCCGCTTTGAAACATTTTGCACCTCGTTTGCGCCTAATTGGCCACGCTCGAGTCGCGATCGATCGCGGGATCGATATCTGCGGAACGTTTAGACGGTTATTGGTACGTTTCACGGTACATTGGCTCGAATAATTTATTCGATAATACCGCGTCGATCGGCCGTTACCTCCCACCGTCGGGCAAATTGTAATCTGCTTTACGATCGACGATTACGATTATCCTGTAATCGAGCCAGTTATCGGTGATTACGATTACCAAACAGTTCTGGGGAAGTAAATGTTACCAAAATTAATGCACCAAACGCTCTGCCGGGGAATTAAAAGTTATTTGTTCGTGTCATTGCGCGTATAGGGTGGTCAATTTTTCGCGAACGTTAACGCAATTTGATGTTTCGACGTGAACGCGTCGAATCAATCCGGTTAACGTTTCAGAGTTATTGGATTTCGAAGCCGTTAGAATTGTACAATTGTTTCCGTTGATTAAGGCGTGCATGAAAATGGACAGGAGGCTCCGGGCCAACGTTCGAAAGCAACGCATAATGGCTCTGCTGGCGGAACTCGGCCTGGGGACATGCGAGAACTCGAAACTCTCAGCGTTGTCGGGCGGCGAGAGGAAAAGGGTCACGTTGGCCGTCCAAGTAAGCAATAATTCATCCAAACGCAAGACAAACTCGCAATCAACATTTTTTTTATTCATCTTTATCACTTTGCAAAGGAGATTGTTCCAAAACCTAATTTCTCCAGTAGACAGTAAAACAAATTTTTATTCACACCTAGACGACTCCCGATATTATCAATAATAGCTTGTCAACGCTAATTTGTACATGCAAATTTCCCATCGCTTCTTTCACGACACGGCAAACAATATCGTAAGATTAATGACGAGCCTTTGATTCTCATCGCGGTCTTAAGTTCAGGAGATCGATACGCGACGTTATCGATCGATCATTACTTTTCCCATTAATCATTCTTCGACACCGTGGACGTTGATCGTTTGTATAATATTCCCTTGCATCGATAATTCTGTTCGAACAGTGATTTCTTATGAATCCGTAATTTTCGACTAAAAAATGGCGGCTCGTTTGCAAGGATCGGGGAAAAATTTGAATGGGTGATTCCAGGGGCCAAAATAAGACGAAAATCAAGAATAGTAATTTATTAATTGAAGCTTCGTTAAGAAGTTATTAACGTTTCAAGTTACGCCTGTAGAATTCGCGAACAGCTACGCGCGCACACTATCGCCATTATCTACAAGCGGAACTTTAAACGTTAATAACTTTTCAACGAAGCTTTAAATAACAAATTACTATTCTTGATTTTCGTCTTATTTTGGCCCCCAGAATCTCTCATTAAAATTTTGTTTTGTATTAATTACTTTAACTGTAATATAGATTATTTTGCACGAGTTCTCTGCTCGCAATTTTCTTAATACGAGATGCACATAGGGTAGAGGATTTTTCTAGCTGCTCACCGAGCCCAGTATACTCTTTTGCGACGAGCCAACCACAGGGTTGGACAGCTACGGCGCCATGACGGTGGTCAGAACGCTCAGAGAAGTAGCTGCCAGAGGACGGATAGTCGTTTGTTCGTTGCATCAGCCTGCATCCGGTTTGCTGGACATTTTTCACGAAGTTATCCTCCTCTCTGGCGGCAGAGTCGCCTTTCAGGGCTCGTCCATCGACGCCACGGACTTTTTCGATAGGTTCGGGTATTATCTATACTATTATATAAAGAGAGAGCCGATTTTTATGTTCGCGCAAAACTCAAGACTTATTGAACCGATCTTCCTCAAATTTTGACACGTTATTCCTGCATACTCTAGGACGGACATAGGCTATCTAGCATGTCTCAGAAGCGTGTTATTAACATGTAATTTATATGCAAAGATTTCATGTGTACGACTGTTTGGCAGACCACGCGACCCCTGTATACGACAGTCTACTTGGGCGCGCAAGCGCATATTCGGCCCGCGCGATACCTCGCCCGTAGCAGTACTGCGATGTTACCGCCAGGTGGCGAAGCTTCTCGAGCGCTTTCTCGCGAGATAATTGCATTATCGCGAATATATGTCAGGACGATCGTGTGGTCGTAAATTGCTTTTGCACAAGGTCTGGCGAAGCCGAGACGGGGCATGCTAATTTTTTATATTTAGACTCTTGCACAAAAATATTTTCGTTCTTAATTGGGTCGAATAGGTTCCCCGCGATAAGCTGCTCGATTCTACCAATTACGCCTTAATTCCCTTTTACTGAAATTGCCCGTGTAGAATTTTAATGGCGTCGAAAAAAGAGAAGAAAGCATTAGTTTCTATATTGCTGTAGGATTATTGGCTCTTTCGAGGCGTTCGATTAACTTTTCACAAAAAAGAAACGCAATACGAATTTCCAGCTTGAATCTACGTTGCCCGGCGACCTTCAACAGCGCGGAGTTTTACGTTTCTCAGTTGTCCATCGTTAGGGACAAGGAAGCAGAGAGTTATGCGAAGGTAAAGGCAATAAATTAACGAAGGAAAGGAAGCTGAGAATAGCAATTCGCCGTCTTTGCAGGTGAACTGGATCTGCGATCAATACGAGAGATCCAAGTACGGTCAGAGAGTGTCGAAACTGATCGAATTCTCTTGCAATGGCTCCTCGGACGTCGACGATCTTCCGTTAATATTCTCGGAGGTTCCTTCCACGCGTAAAGATTTTAAGAAAGCCAGAGCACTGACGCAGGTGCAGTGGCTCACCTGGAGGACCTACGTCGACTATAAAAGGAACTATGCCTCTCATCTGTTGCGATTCGTAACGTACATGGTGAGACATCGATTACGTTCGACTCTCTCTGCTCTCAAACTCACAGTTTTCGAGTATCTTTAAAGGATATCCTATTGCAAACATTCCAAAAAATAAATAAATTCCTTCTGTCCCAAATGTGTGTCCAAATTCACACTGTTTGTGAATAATTTCCCAGACCATTAAAATTCCAATCAGCGAGATCTTAAGGGGGTATTGCTGTCTCATAACTTATTATTTATAACTCCCACAATTTTTAATATTTATTGATGAAAAAAATACTGTAGATGCTTATAAGATGAATGAATATATCTACAAAATTTCAGGACAAAAGAGCGTACCTATCGTTAAAAAAAAAAATCACAAAACAGCAGTACTCCCCTCAATACACATTTTCCTTGAACGATTGTGTTCTATTTTCCAAAAAGTTTTCCTAGATTTTCTCGACCTCCAACTCCTTGGAGCACCGACAGACGCGTATTTTAAAGTTCGTAGGCCTGCTAGTAGCGTCGCCATACGTGGACGTGACGGGAAGGGCGATGAATCAGGATGGTATACAAAACATGCAGGGCCTGCTCTACCTGGTGGTCGTCGAGACCGTGTTCACGTTTAATTACGCCGTTTTCTACACGTTCCCACGGGAATTGCCGCTTTTGCTGCGCGACATCGCCGGCGGACTTTACGGTCCAGCGCCGTATTACATCAGCAAAGTTGTCGTTCTGGTGAGACACTCGATAATCATGATCTTTTCCAACAATTCTAAGACAAAGACTGGGCAGGATAAAGGGTTATATTGTTGACAAAATATTAGTGTGGGGTCCATAGTCTCCCGTTCTCGTCACCAGAGGGCCACGCGATTGTCTCTCTCGCAAGCGCTTAACCGACTCCTCCTTTGAATTTTTTTCTCGAAAGTGGGTAGGATTTCGGGGGTTTGTCTATTCACCAAAAATGATTGTAATTGACCCCCACGACTGAAAATAATTTTTTCAAAGCGATTTGAAATTTTTTAATTTTGTCGAAAAACTCGTCCACCTACTCGATTTTTTTCCGCGCTAGTGGGTAGGAATTCAGGTGTATGTCTATTGACAAAAACTGATTGTAATTGACCCCCATAACTGAAAATAATTTTTTCAAAACGATTTGAAATTATTTTTTTCCGTCGAAAAATTTCACACATTCTCGAATTTTTTTCTCGAAAGTGGTTAGGATTTTGGGGGTGTGTCTATTGACCAAAAATGATTGTAATTGACCTCTGCAATTGAAAGTAATTTTTTCAAAACGATTTGAAATTTTTTAATTTTGTCGAAAAATTCGTATCAAAATGACGAACGTGTGTTAACTAAAAAAACTAAAACATATTCTTCACTGAAAAATTGTTAAACAAACGTCTGAGTGAGCACGAAATTTCTAGATACCCGGAGCGATAATGCAACCATTTTTATACGCCGTTTTCATATTCACGATCACCGGTCTGAAGGGTGGATTTCTTGGGTTCGTTTACTTCGCGCTACCAGTGGTGGTCTGCGCCATTTCTGCGTCCGCGCTCGGTGAGGAATCCGATGGACAACAATTACACGATTTTTCGTTTCCATGCCAACAGAATTCATCGTAAAAAATTATTTCAACAACCGTCGTATCTCTCAAAGAAATATCGCAACAGGATTTATCGAAACAAAGAAATTAGAAAAGATTTGTTTGCATGGAAACGTGCCCCGAGGCGCGGTACTCACGTCGACGATTAAATCTTTCGAACAGGTTTATTCCTCTCGGCGTCGTTTAAATCCGTGGACACGGCTTCTCTCTTTTCCGTGCCACTGGACTTCCTTGGCCTGATGTTCTGCGGGATTTACCTGCATCTCGGGTGAGCAAATTGATCAGATAAAGTTAAACACACCTCGAATCGTAAAACTCGAATCGTTCACCCTTTGACGAGTCAAATCCGTGGAAATTTTATTCGAAACAAAAATTACGATTATCTGAAACAATCATCGACCACTATCGACTCTCTGAACAAATTTTATTTGTATATTAAAAGTAAGTGAAATTCTTTAAATTGTTAAACTCTTAGTATCGAGTAACGATTAGATTTCAAGGCTCCTCGTGGCGTTGTATAATTATTGTTGAACTTTCCAGACACCTTGCGCCCGGTATCGCGTGGTTAAAGTACTTATCCCAGTTCTATTACGGTCTGGAAGCAGTTTCCTTGACGCAATGGATGCTGATCGATCACATAAGTACAGTGTTGCTTAGTAAATTTAATATCTCCAATTTAAGAATATTTACGATATCTCACGATTGAAAATTATTTCTAAACATTGATTATTGTGTTCTCGAAGACTGTGCCCCGGACCCTGAAGAGCCTTGCATATCCAGCGGACTGGGTGTCCTGGAGAAATACGGTTATTTGCCTAATCACTACGCGATGGACATAATAGGCCTTCTGGCCATATTCTCCGTCAGCCATTTGGCTGGTTTTCTAGTGATTCGACGCAGAAGTCGCAAAGAACCCGTTTACTAGCTTTCCAAATACAAATTTCAATCCTTAGATAATTTTTTTAAAATATATTGTACATCCACGAATAAATTGTCGGAGACCCGTTTAAAATAAAACGAAACTGTACAAACTTGATTGAAAACGTGCTTCTGATTGCCCTTTTCAATGCAGAATATTTCATGTGTACGACTGTTTGGCAGACCACGCGACCCCTGTATACGACAGTCTACTTGCGCGCGCATGCACATATTCGGCCCGCGCGATACCTCGCCCGTAGCAGTACTGCGATGTTACTGCCAGGTGGCGAAGCGTCTCGAGCGCTTTCTCGCGAGAGAATTGCATTATCGCGGATATATATGTCAGGACGATCGTCTGGTCATAAATTGATTTTTTAAATAAATGAAATACACAAGGAGATGAAGGTTTTCTAAAAGACTGTTTAATAGGTTAAACGCGTGTTGTTGCACCTGTACATTATAAAAGAGAAGAATGGAATTAGTTTTCTTATAATAAGGCATCCAAGCCGACAATTCTCCTCTTATGTAAAGCAACGACGTTTACCGCGTGTCCTTTCTACGACTCGTACGGATACATACATACAAAAATGTATAAACCTGCCTCGAGTTTTCGTCGATCAATGAAAAAGAGACGCGTTGGTGTAAAATTCAAGATATTTACAATATAGGCTATACAAGTAGGTTGTGTATATATTATAGTAATGGTGTTTTATATGTATATACGTATGGATCTCTCTATACACAAAATTCTATGCTAAAATTTCTTTAAAAAGTAACGCAATCGTTCCATCGATCTTCGTTTCAACATGGAAGTGACGGTTCTCTCAAAAGACACGGTCTCTTTTTGTTTTTTTATATACGTCTAAGTTCAAAAAAGGGTCCTAGTTCGATTGTTGATTATTTATGAATAGAACAGTTCAGTGATAGAGTAAAAACGACGGAATGCTTGAGAAGTCATGGATGGAACGAGGAACACTTTCATCGGTTTTCGTATAATTAAGCTCATAGTCGTTTCGATGCCAGTGGTTCTCAATATCCGTGCCGAGAATTGTCCACGAACTAGGCCTGTGACTATTGGAATATTTTATAATCAAGCTAATTCAACGAATAAAAATTTTGAATGTTCGAGAATATTTGAAATATTAGAAAATTGTTATTTGTGTATCAAAATAGTGTGATCGAAATCTGATCGATTGACGCAAATGGTATCTAATCATCGAATCATCCGCGACAAAAAGACACCAAGATTTCCTAATCTTGTATCAACTTTGCTATCCCCAATCTTGCAAATTTCTATTTTTATTTTTATTTCAAGTGGAATTTTAACGCAATAGTTTTGGTATTTTCCAAGACGTCGATATCATCCTTGTTATTATAATTTGTTTTTTATCGAGAATATCGCTCAAAAAATTTATTTTTATTCAGAAATTAGGATGTCGAGAAGGACAGCTAGAACTGAATGCTTTGCAACGTAATAATGTATTGACTCTCAAGTGATTCGCTATAAATAATATTTATATAATATGTCTCTTATATATAATTACATTATGTATAATACGTCGACAATTTCGGGCACGCGAAAACACGTGGCATCGGTGCATGCGTTCGCCCGTCCGTGAGCTTAAAAATTAATGAACGTAACGAACGAGAATTTCGTTCTGATTCTAAGCGTGTTCTCGTACGCGTGAATGTCAAGGCGTTTTCGTATAAAAAGAATCTATTATCGGGCCTGCAACCGCCGACAAAATGACTTGCCAACGCTAGAACGTCACGACGGGTCATTCTGGCGACAGTTGTGCAGGGTGGTCCCACTAGAAACTGGACATCTTCGCTGCTTCAAGCAATACAACTGTTGACAACAAAAATTGCATAGCTTCGCGGGAGAAACAGGTTGCAAACATTCGTTACTCATGTTTTCTTTTTTCTCGATATAATTAATAAGTGTTTATTTGATACAAATTTTTTTTTTTTTTTTGAAGAATTAATTGAATCGTGTTTATTTAAAATGTCCTGGTTCCAATGGACCACCTTGTATTATATAAGTTAGAGCTTGGGTTACATAACTAGACTTACTTGGTAACGTACGATCGATAGTTAGCTACCTGTTAGTTGCCGTTCTTTTACTCGTGGTCTCGGTTAAAGTGAGTTACGGCCGACCGTGAAAGCTTTCGTCGCATCGCGGGGTTAAAAAGTAGAAAAATTTTCGAGGTCGATCGATGGGACCACCGAACTCGCTTAAGAGGTCCGTCTAATTTTTAATAACAAAAAACAATTTTTATTTTTACATTTCCTCAAAGATTCGAGCCCTAAAAAAAAAGTATTATTCTAAAATGAATCTTTTTCAAGTTTTCTATTTGTATCGATCTAAGTAAATGGTACGTGCAAAATTAAAAATTGATATGTCCAAAAGTTTCTCGAAAAAAAAAACTATTAGATACCCATCGATTGGAGGTCCGAATTAGGCGGACCCCTTAAGAGAAAATCTTCTCGATATCGTGTTAGTTATAACGTGGCGAGCAACAGTTTATTCTTCTTTCGTAAAACTTAATTGCAATAAATGGAATGGAAATAATCTATCAGCGCGTGTCGCGTAAATTCGAGGATGGCAGAGAACGCTGAATCGCAAACATTCTATTTGCGAAAGCTGTCGATCGCGGGAAGATATCACTTAAAAACTCGAGCGTCGTCGCCTTCGACGTTTTCGTTTCTATAAAGGCAACTGTTCTAATCCTTAACGATCCTCGCTTAAACATTAATGTACTTTCGAGCCTCCCACCCCCATCATTTCTGGAAGCAATAAATGTATATTAAAGATTTCTACAAAAATTAATTTCCACTTTTACGAACCTCCTTCTTCTTCGTTATAAAAATTAGAAATCAATATTTTGGAAGGTGTATCTAAAACAGAATTTAACAGAGGGTTCTTTCAGTCGTTTCTAAACTATTAATTCTGTAAAATTGTATAATTGCATCGTAACTCCGCGTCTTCTGCTCTAACTAGGTCACTGCTAGGTCTAGGTCAGCTGTCAGCCCCCGATACCATCGTTTCCTTTCTCGATTCAGCGTTTGAGGCTCCGATTCCTTCTGGATCGGTTAACGAACGCGTGTATGTACAAACGGACGAGTACGAGCGACGATCGGTCGGAATTGCGCGTCCTCGGCGATCGGCGACCAGCCAATCGCGCCTAAGTGTCCCCGATGGCCGTCGCGGCGCGATAAACGGCCGCCATTGTGTTCTCGCGGCGGCGATCGAGACGAAAACCGGTGGCCAGCACGAACCAAACGGACGTCAGTGTCATGGCGTCGACGACAACGCGGTCACGACGAGGGTGCGACGATAACGGAACGGGCGATCCTGCTATCGATGGGTTACCGATTCGTCAGCAGGAGCAGGACTTCTTTGAACTCGTCGGCGACTGGTTCAGCGCGAATCTCTCGCCGTCCGTCTGATCCTGGGACCCGTTGCCCTTAATTAGCTGGTCGTTCTGAAGTATCTGAAACCGAGAGAACGGGCATTTAGCAGGTTTCTTCCCGAGTAGGTCAGATATCGGAGCGAATATCATTACAAATTGGGATTATCTTGCATAGAAAACGCGGCAACTCGAGCACAAGCGCGCCTGTAAAATATTGAAACAGTAACCCCCACTTTCGAACGACCCAAACTAGCATCCTCATAATATTTATTCTTAAATCTTCGTGGGAGTATTACGAACAGATTGTTGACGTCTCCCCGGTTAGAATGAGTACAAACACGGCACCATTTAGATTATCTTTAATTATATGTATAGTTGAATATTTAAAAAACTAACCTATAATTAAAGTGGTCCAAACTAGGTCGTGTTTGTACTCATTTTACTCGGGCAAACGCCCCCGATTTATTGGTAATGTTCTCTTGATGATATAATGACAAATATATATAAAGCGTAATTTTCTTTCATTTATATTTTCGTGTATCAGAGACAAACGTCATGTGTTTCCGCCTTAAGCTCTATCATCGCGCAGCTGATGCGCGGATGACCGACGCAGTAAATTAGTTTACGTCGACTGGAACGAACTCCGGAGTCTCGTTAAGGCGATCATCTCGGCGCGAAACGACGTCATTGATAAATCCATGGAACGTAATACACAGTGGCCGATGGCCATCAATCGAGGGGGCAACACGATATTCTGCAAATAACTTGTGCGTAGCTCTCAGACTATCTTCGTTAATCGTAGTTCGCCCCATGTGCAAACAACTCTTGGTTCACGATGAAACAATAATTCCATCTTAACCCCTTTGTTGCATAGTGGCGTGTATCTATATCTACTATTCGACATTGGACTCGTTTTTTCAAATTTTAACTCACTTTATTAACAAGGAATCGTGCCGCTTCCTCGATGTTGACGTTTTCCTTGGCAGACGTCTCGAACCATCCAGCAAAGTTCTTCTCCTTGCAATAGTCGTCCATTTTCGCCGGTGAATTTACGAGCCCCTCCTTCTGTTGATCGCACTTGTTCGCCAGAAGGACACAGGGGATCGGCGAACCGTCAGGTAGCTGCACTTTCGCGTCCAGATCCTGTTTCCACTTGACCACCGCGTCGAGGGTCGCGCTTCTCGTCACGTCGAACACTATGAAAGCACCCACTGCTTCCTTGTAATACACTCGAGTCATGTTCCCGAACCTCTCTTGACCTGTAACACACGAGCAACCACCACCTTGAAATCGCTCCAAAACGAACTCAATTCCCCAAGCAGTAATTACCATCGAAATTCCATTATCAGCAAAAAAAATACAGAAAAATATTTACATCCATTCGACATCATTTTTCTGGTAGTCGAGATCTTTCGAAAGACACTCATTTTCATTATTAAGGGGGGCAGAGTTAGTTTTGCAAACTAATTCGACATGTTAGAGAACTTAGGAAGCTTGCAATAAGGTGGAAGCTAATTTCTCGTGCAAAAATAAGCAAGATAAATTCTCGACAAATGGGGGGATGAGAAACGGGGGATCGTAAATTACGACTGACCTGCGATATCCCATAGCTGGAGCCTGATGATTGTGTGGGGGTCCCAGTTCAAGACTTTCAGAGCGAAGTCGACGCCAATTGTCGCGCGATAGTGCTGCGAGAAGAACTGGTGAACGTATCTCTTGATGATGGATGTCTTTCCGGCCCCCAGCTCGCCAATCACCAGAATTTTGTACAAGTGTTCTCGTTTCTCGCCTAATCCGGCATTTGGCGCATTGTTCTGAGACGACTGCACAAACAAAGAAAAGATCACTCGTTATTTGCTGATAGAACTAATCTACGGGTCCACAACTACTTATCTTGACCATATTTTTAATTATAAAAATTTTAAATCACACGAACGACTCCATTTTGTAGAGTCACGTGGATTTCGGCGGGAATATTTGAAAATTGAATCGTACATGGTAAATGATACATTTTATTTTCACTTTCTGTTTTCTTGGTTGGAGAATTCTTTTTAATTTATTTTATTAAACAACCTCGATTGTTTATTATACCATTTAATAAACACTGATTATTGTGCAAAGATAGCGTTCTCTTAACTTCCGTGTATTTCTGGAGTTTCTCATTACATTATCTCTATTATGCAATTATTTTTCGACATCGTTGCAGATAATATGCAACATTTCGATTGATTGATTTTCAGAAGATTTTTAACATTATTTTGCAAGCTTAAATATCCGTCGACGCGTTCGTGTGGCGATTTTGCACTATGTTGTGTTCGTACTGTGACTTATCTTATCGACTCCGTGGAAAAATGACAAACTACGATCGGAGTTGTAAAATGGTCGGGAAGTAATAAATTATCGAAAACGATTACTCTACCGACACTGTTCGAACCGTTGTGATGTAATTTTGCATCGATATCCCACTACAAATCCTTCATTTTCTATTTAAACAGAGTTTCGAAAAATTCGATTTCATCGAAATACTTCGTAAAAATCCCACCGCGAATTCAACAGAAATTGAATTATTTTATCGAGGATCATCACTGAATCCGTGGACACCGGAAGTCGCTTTGAAGATTGAAAGAAACGAACGACGTTTTGGGGGTGGGAAAAAAATTTAGAAAAAACGATAAACCAACCCTCCACCACTTCCATTTCCTCGAGTGAAACTTCCAGTTGGCAAAGTTGAACGCGTCCAGGTTCTTCCAGAACTTCTGCTCGACTTCCATTGTTTACGCGCGCGGCTCTCGAACGTTTCTCAGACGTCGTTGATCCGATGGATCCGTACCGAACCACTCGACGTGCACCACAGAAATGACTCACTGAGAAGCATCGTCGGGGAATGCGATCAGACGACGCGTCTGAAGTTCGTCAACAACGAAGGGATTTGTCAAAAGTGGAAGCAATTCCACGCGGAGTGGCTAATCCCAGAAAGCTATAGAATTCGAGCCTGGAAATTTTCCACGTTTCGACGAACCTTTTCAATATCCTCGACTCCATTTAAAAATACTCCAAGAAAATACAGGGTGTTCAAAAAAAAACCATTCAATATTTATATGGGTATATAGGATACATTGTAGCGAGTAAAAAAGCTTTGGTAAACACGGGTCGAAAGGTTAATCGTTTCTGAGATACAAACATACCATATAAATATTGAATTTTTTTAGTTTTTTTGGAACACCCTGTATATCTTGGCAAAAATTCGATTCTGATGATATTTATAATTATTACATTGGTTCCAGCGATAAATGGACAATCGAAAAATATCTATTTTGAGACTCGATGTAAATTGAAATTTGTAACGTTTTCAATTAAAATTCCGAGTCTACGGGACAAAGCCCCGTTTGCAATAAACCAAGGAATGGAATATTCCCAAAATTCCAGGCGAATGACTCATAAACCCATGGAAAGTTTCCCGCTCGGATAATCTAGTAGCTTTAAAATTTACCACGGGTCGCCATAAAATTCAGGTAGAGGGGTCGCCATTTTCTGCCTGGCGATCCGTAGAAATATTATCTGCGTGGCGTTTCGTAGTGGCAAAATAAAATCATGATAGGAAACACGATCCACGGTGTGCGTGGTTGCACGCGCGACGGATAATCCCGCCATTGCAAAGCTTGTAACCATAAACTCGATGGTAACGATAATCTGCTATAAAAACGAAAAAAAAGCGTCTGTAGAATTTTTCAATAATCCATACAGCCCCATAATAATTATAAAATATTCAACACCATAGATTCGTGGCTCCAAAATTTTGAAGTTTTTCGTTTTGAAAATTTTTGCACGCGTTCGTTTGCTCAAAATGTTTCGAAATAGATCGTGTTCCGCGATTTCGTGGTCTTTTGTTGGATCTTTGAAGATGGGGGGTCAAAAATGGGAGAGCGTCGGGCAGGTTTTCCTCTTGAGACGCCGTCCGCCGTGCTCCAATTAAGCTTCTCGCGTTAGAGAGCACCGAGAACGAGATAGAGCACGCGAGACCACGCATGTAACACGAACCTCGTTCACGGAGTGCACGGAGTCGCGAAAAACTCGCGACCATCTGGACTAAAAGGAGCAGGTTGGATAGAAGGGAACCACAAGTCAGGACCGCAGAAAGCGTCTATCGATTCTCCGTCAGAGAAATCAAATATCCTTTGAAACGAATACAGAGGGCGTTTCACAACAGTTTCGTGTAAACGTGTGCCCCATTTAACGTTCTATTCGAGTTACGAAAAAAATTTTCTAAACTTAAAAAAAATATATTAATAATCATGCAAGCAACATTGTTGTATTTCTAGCAAATTTTTAACCCTACATTAGTTTGCAGTAGATATTTTTTATCAAACATGTACATATTTTGTTGGGGCTTCGATAAGCTTGCGGAATAAATATTGCTATTTTTACGGCCAAGTAATTTTTACAAGTACAATAGATACAGAGCAAAATGTCTGTAAATATTCCAATTCCATTCATGTTTTTAAAAAGAACTTTCTATTGATTTTAGTGAGGGTTTTCGTAATTAATTTCGATTAGAATTGTATCCACGGTTGTAATTACCTACAGATGTTCGTACTTGAGAGTGGTCTGCGCTTAGGGAGCAGTGGATTCATGCTGTACGTGTGCACTATTAGCTCGAACAAGTAGTATAATTCGCGATATCGTCGACAAGCATCGACATAAATTACAAGTGTCACCGTTCGTCGGGCAACAGTCGCCGATAAGTAAATACATGTTAGGGTAAAACAGTATTACATTAAGTGTTATCACAATGTAACACTTAAAACTATCAAATATTCAAAACATTGCGATACACTTGCTTTCAAACACGTATGTACGAAAGCAGAAATTAGAAAAGAAAAGAAAATTCAGTTTGATATAGATACTTTGTCCCCATGATAAACAACAGTTCTAAAATTTCATTTTTTGGTCGAAAAAATAAAGTTCCAGCACGAGTAAAATAATAGCGATACTTCTCTTTAGTTTTGGTTGGATTCACTACCTAACCCGCTTTCAAGCGAATCCATGGTTCCAATTTTGTCACTTGAAAGCGGGTATAGTAAAAAAGGTCGTGTTTGTGATCGTTTTCATCAGGAGAACCCCACCGATTCATTGATAGTGTTCTCTTGATCATATAATGACAAATATATAAACTAGCGTTCTTATAATATTTGTCCTTGTATCTTCGTGGAAGTATTACGAACAGATTACTGACGTCTCCCCGGTTAAAATGAGTCCAAACACAGCATCATTCGGACTATGTTTAATTATATGTATAGTTGAACATTTTCAAAAATAACCTATAATTAAAGTGGTCCAAAGTAGGCCGTGTTTGTACTCGTTTTCATCAGGAAAACCCCACCGATCCATTAATAGATTACTAAATCGTGAGTTATATTTGTTTACAAGTAGTAAATCGATTTTGTCACTTGAAAGCGGGTCTAATAAAAAATGCTCCGAACATAGTCGTGTTTGTACTCGTTTTCATCAGGAGAACCCCACCGATTCATTAATAGATTACTAAATTGTGAGTTATATTCGTTTACAAGTAGTAAAGCAATTTTGTCACTTGAAAGCGGGTCTAATAAAAAATGCTCCGAATTGGGTCGTGTTTGTACTCGTTTTCATCAGGAAAACCCCACCGATCCATTAATAGATTACTAAATCGTGAGTTATATTCGTTTACAAGTAGTAAATCGATTTTGTCACTTGAAAGCGGGTCTAATAAAAAATGCTCCGAATCTGGTCATGTTTGTACTCGTTTTCATCAGGAAAACCCCATCAATCCACTAATAGTTCCTTAAAATTTGGGTCGTGAGCCACATTCGTTCAAAAGCAGTAACATCCCTCCCCTCTAAAATATGCATTATAAGCATCCTTCTCGAAAGTGGTCGTTGGTCCCCAAAACTTTAAGTATCCTTGGTCTAACCAATCATCTGTTCTAAAGCTACTATGCTCCATTCTAGGTAAAAAGAAAAGCTCTACGGTGAGTATCGTCAAAGCTCTCACCGTGCTGTCCTGGCTGGCGACTTTGGCCCTCTCCGCGTTATCGCTGCCGCCGGCCATCGGTCCCATGGTGCTCGGATGCGCCGAATAATCGTGATTCTGTCGATCGTAGCTCTCCGTATAGTCCTCCTCGATGCCAGCCAGATACCCGACACCCGTCTCCTCGTCGAAAGTGCCCTCGAACGTCGAGAACGTATCGAACTTCTTCACGCTGATGTGCCTGGCCTTCTTCTTGGTCTGCACCTCCCGTTTCTCCTCCTCCTTCGCGGACGTCCTGTTGTTGTCCTCGTCGTCCAGGCTCACGGCGACCACCGTCTCCCTGGAGTTTGAGTCCTTGGTGGTTTGGAACAACCGTCGCTGGAAGATCGCTCGTTTTTCCTCGAGCAACGACAGCTTCCGACGCACCTCGCGCGGCGACGAATTCGTGCGTATACCGCACTCCGACTCGGACTTTGCGGTCAACTTGGACTTCCTAGTCGTCTCTGTGACCTGTTTCCCGCCCTTCTGCTCCGGCCATTTCGAGATCGAGTACGGAAGCGTCGAGCTGCACCGTTCCTCCAGTCGCGGCGCCTTCTCCTGGCTCAGCGGATCTGCGCAAGCCGTTCATAGGGAATCGCTTTTCCAAACGAGCTTTGCTTGATACGCGAAGCTTCTTTGAGATTCGCGATAAGCTTGTTAGATTATGGTCGATTAGGTGGTGATGTTAGAAATGGGATCGTGGCTCTATCTACACCTAGCATACTAGTCAGTGATGTGTTCAGTTGTATCAGTAATGAGCAATCCTGTACTACAATAGTGTGTCTTCACTATCTACCTCTAGTATACTCGTCAGTAGATCGATCAGAAGTCTTCAGTGTCACAGTACAAAGGGACCAGCAGTGACTATGGTCGATCTAGCCGAGATTGGTCAGTTGGGTGAAGGCTATGATGTTAGAAGCGGGGTTCAAGTATCGATAAATCACATGGAGGCACTATCTACACCTAGTATACTTGATAATGACGCGTCGAGTTGTGTCAGTTGTGAGCAATCGTGTCTACAATAGGGTCTCTTGACTTCCATGATAGCACCTATCTTTACGCCTAGTATACTCGTCAGCAGATTAGTGGTATCAATCGTCAGGGATCTTCGCTATCACAGTCTACTACCTAAACTAGCAAGACTCTAGTTCATCTATCCGCATCTAGAACAAATAGCAGCAACCTGGACCCTAAGCGAGGGCCGATCGAGAGCGATAGAACTCAAGCAAAGAGATGGAAATAGACGAGGCGTTATCCTCGATCGGAGAGTGATCGCTCACCGTGCTGGGTCTTGGTAAAGCTCTTGATGGTCAACGACGGCGACCTGCGCTGCACTACGGTGACAGTGCTCACCGGTTTCTCCAGCAGCTTCTCCGATTTCCACGTCTCTCCCTTCTCTCTATCCCCCTCCCCCGCCTCGTTGGTCTCGCGATGCTCGAGCCTTTCCTTCGCGGGTGTCGCCTCGGCCTCCTGCCCCTTCCTCGCGATCCTGGACGGGCTGTCCGACAGGCTGGGCGACTCCTGCGACGATTGGCTCTGCGAACGGCTGCTCTCGCCACCCTCGCGCGGCTGCCTCGGCTCCTGGTCCGTCGACAGCCGAAATTTGTTCAGGCTCAGCTTGCGCACCAGCGAGTTCGACTTCTTCTTCTTCTTCTTCAAGGTCGAGCTCGTGCCGCCCTTCCCGTCATCCTCCGCTTCCGGACTCCTCTTGCGGGCCGTCTCTAAGCCGGGAGAGCAAGTCCGGGTCAGACTTATCGTTCTTACGCGCCTCACGAGACTCGATTGGGACTCATCTTACCCGAAAGATTAAAAATTAATTACCGAATTCATAGACATAGCTACTTTGGTAATTAAAATGCATAGGCTCTGCTATAGATATTCGCTTTTCGAGACTCGAGTTTAAGGATTGATATTACGGAAGATTACTTAGATTTTCTTTAAAAATAAAATAAAAATAAATTAAATAAAATTCGAAGAAAACGGATGAACCCTGTGATGTAAATTGGCCCCCAAAGAAAGAAATCGATTGCATAAATCCATCACGATTAACCAGCGCACTGGATCCGTAGCCAAGTAATAGCCAAGGAGCAGAGTGTTTTTAACGACGAATACTCAGTTTGACAATGATTTCCAGTGATTTGGATCGAAATGGGTACGCACAAAACCGAGATAGAAACTGGAGATCTCAGAGCCCTGCCAATCTACGTATCACTGTGGCCACAAAGGACTAAAACGCGAGAGAAAGGGCACTGAATCGCGGTGAACCTTTTTCGTCAACATCCGGCTCCTGCTCGACGAACGCCTCGTCCACGGACCTCGTCTTCTTCTTGATCTTGAACAGCCCGCCCTCCTTGCGGAAGCTGCTCTTCAGGGCGCCGAACCGTCCCCTCTTCTTGTCGTCGTTTCCCGCGGGGGCAGCCGTGGCACCGGTCAGGGTGTCCAAGCTGGAGCTGCTGCCGGCGACGGTCGCGTACTCGCCGGAAGTGGTGCAGCCGTGCCTGTTCCGGTCCTCCTCGGACGAGGAGCGTCCGATCACCGTGTCGGGCGAGCTTCCACCCTCGTTTGCGCTCTCGTTCCGATCCATCCTCGCCGGCGCGAAGGGGGTCAGAGACGCGAACGAAGAGAGAGGACGAAATCTTCCGCGCGCCGGATGAACGAACCGCTCGTGTTCGGTGTCTCTCTCTGGTACCAGGCCCCCTGTCCACGGCGTGGCTTCCTCTGGCACCCGCGGAAACCTTAGAAGAACTCGCTTTCTAGGTCCGATCGGCCTGCCCACGGATAATCCGACAGCGTTTCTCCACCCCCCTCCCACACATGCGTCTTTTTACCGTCAGGTGCCCTCGCTGACGTGTGCTTCTCCCGCTGGCCGCGCGACCATTCGAAATCGAGAAGCCTGGGAGTCCTCAAACCCAACGCGGACCGGTTACCGGCCTAGTCTCCGCCTCTGCGGTCGACTTCTATTATCGTTCGACAACACCCCTCGAACAACGGGGCTGCCTCCTTTCTTTCGACGAGACCACTCATCGAGACCAAAGGAATCTTCCGATCACGGTTCACGCGATTCTTGACCTCCTTCCTCTGTCTTTGCGAACTCGTGTACGATCCTCGTTTAATGGAACACCGGGCCTCCATCGATCTTCAGCCTTCGTGGCAATATCGCTAGGCCCGACATAGTCCACAAGACACAATTCTACAGTTTCGAAAGGGTTCGCGAACTCTTTTACATACGGGAGGTATTGGCTATCGATCGAGGTATCTTCGATTTCCGGATTCTACCGACGCGGCAGGTTTGGCTGACACAGTCCATTAGACGGGTACCCCTTCTAAATGGTTCACGAACACTTACTACGTACACTAGAGGTTATTAGCTATCGATCATGGCACTGATCCTGTTTCTACAGTCACGGAGCACTTTTGTCCCACGATTACTCACACTTGTATTCCTACGCTATAAATGAAAAGATGAAACCATTTTTTTTTACTTATAGTGCACGAATGAGTGGGAGTAACTGTCTATACACCACCAAGAGGTCAAACACCATAGCTTGGTTGAATAATGATGATACCAAAACTACCCTAACTGCGATCATTCCCGCGTAACGATAGGGTCAAAGGGGGGAAAATGGCGCGTGGTGAGACCAAAAACGAGAACGAGAACGAGGACGAGAACTCGCGGCACTGCAAGCCGGACGATGCTTGGAGCCGCACTAAATGCTCGCGTAAAAATTCACCTGGGGGACACCAGGGGGAGGAGCGTACCGGTGCCCCTCCACGGCGCGCATTAACGCGTTAACGAGGCTCGCGGAGGACGAGTTCTCCCGTGGTTCTTGGTCCCCGATGACCGGACCACGGTGCCGTAACGCGTACGTGCGCGTAACACGAGTGCCCTGGGCACAGCTGGTGTGCGGTGAGCCGCAAGGACTCGGTTTGCCAAGAGTCTGTGCCTCGTGGTAGACGTTCCACTCTGCCTCCACCGAGAATTGCGCAAGGGACACCATGGGAGACCTGGTTGAGTCGGGAAACTCGACTTTAACCCTTTCTATATGGTGGGTTTGGTCCAAAAAGATACCAAATTCACACCTTTAAAATACTCGTGCAATAGTGCCTCTACCATGGAGGACGATTTTCACCTCTTCAGCATATACAAATAAAAAAAAATCAACGATCGAACCTGGTGACTACCATATTACCCTCTCAGGGGTGAAAGTTATGTACAATACTTGGGTTCTAACTAATTTTGCGAATAGAATCTTGTGAGTTGCGTGGATCGAAATCTTGGGAACGTTTGTACTGGCTGAGTCGGGAAACTCGACTTTAACCCTTTCGATGTGGTGGGTTTGGTCCAAAAAGATACCAAATTCACACCTTTAAAATACTCGAGCAACAGTGCCCCTACCATGGAGGACGATTTTCACCTCTTCAGCATATACAAATAAAAAAAAATCAACGATCGAACCTGGTGACCACCATGTTACCCTCTCAGAGGTGAGAGTTATGTACGATACTTGGGTTCTAGCTAGTTTTGCGAATAGAATCTTGTGAGTTGCGTGGATCGAGATCTTGGGAACGTTTTGTAATGAGTGAAGCATCGCTGTAGGGACAGTGGACGGTCTCATTCGGCGCTGAAACGATAATAGAAGGCGGACTTTTCACGCACTAATTGCGCGTCGTCGGGTGCGTCGCCGTCTCGTAGCTCTGTTAATTAATTAATAGCAGACGGGGATGAGCCAGCGATAAAGTCCAAAGTTGAGTCGCGGACGAAGGAACAACGGGCGGTAATCTAACGAGGTGGCGATTAGACGCGATTTTTCTACGCGTAATCTTAATTGGCAGCGACAAACGGCTCGAGATACGCGTCCAAGCTGATGGATGCATCTGCGCTATAATCGTTCGAGCATGGTGAATCTTACTGGGAAGTAGGAAGAGGGTTTCAACTCTTTATAATACGGTTCAAGTTTTTCGTAACAGTTTCTCCAACATAATTTTTTTCTCTATGATTGTGTACGATTTCATAGGTATGTGTCTTCACCAAAAATGTTTAAAATTAACCCCCGTAATCAAATATAATTTTTTTAGAATTATTTGAAAATTTTTTATTTCGTCGAAAAATTTGTCCATCTACTCGAATTTTTTTCTCGAAAGTGAGTAGGATTTCTAGGGTATGTCTAATGACCAAAAATGCTTGTAATTGACCCCTCTAACTAGATATAATTTTTTTAGAACGATTTATAATTTTTTTTGTTGCGACGAAAAATTTCACACCTTCTCTAATTTTTTTCTCGAAAGTGCGTAGGAATTTGGGGGTATGTCTATTCACCAAAAATGATTGTAATTAACCTCCACGTCTGAAAATAATTTTTTTAGAACGATTTATAATTTTTTTGTTTCGATGAAAAATTTCACACTTACTCAAATTTTTTTCTCGAAAAAGCGTAGGATTTCGAGGGTATGTCTATCCACCAAAAACGTTTACAATTGACCCCTGCAACTAGAAATAATTTTTCCAGAATGATTTGAAATATTTTAATTTTGCCAAAAAGTTCCTCCACCATAAAATTCTAAAACGACCAAATCTATTGCCATCAGATTCGTTTCCTGGCAATAATTTTCTTGAAAAACCTAATACCGATAATCTCAACGATCGAAAGTTTCGCAATACTGCATTTGATTAAAAAAAAAATAGAAAAAAGTCATCTTCGTCGATGGTCACCGCGTTACGTAAGGGGAACGATCGGAATGGTCGGCATAATCGCGACATTTGCGAACGCAGGGGAAAGGTTCGGGTCATGGTGGCCTCGGGATTCAGTCCGTGTTCGAACCGGAGCCACCGTTAGCCTTTATCGATCGACGATCGCTCGACAGGAGCGAAATCCTCGCGATTGTACGACACACGCACCGCGAGGGACCAATAAAATCGTGCGTCGGCTCTAAGGACGACCTCGATGCCTGTAATTCCATCGTCGTTCGCGCATCATCGCGCATGCCTCGCGTGGGGTGGTTTATGTAAGATACTGGTTTTCCCCGTGTTTCTACGATCCCGATAAACTCGCGCGACCTCCTTCGAGCTCTACGACGACCGCGTGGCGCAATACGCAGTCCCGAGCATCCTGCGATTAGCACGCGACCAATTTTATTCCACGAACCGTTTCCTCCGACACGACAGGTAAGCATCCTGCACACTCCCCCTCATAAACATTAGGATACTCGGTCAAAACAATGGAATATTTGACGACCCAAAAACATCGTTTTACCAAAATATACCCACGTTATTTCGATTTTATATTTTATATTACTAATTTAGTGTTTTTTCTTCTTTTTTTTTTATTGAATGCTGGGTAACCCTCTAAGGGATTATTAGCGACTCATATAAATGCGTAATACAATTAGGCTATATAGCTACATTGAGATTATGTGAATACACTTATCGATAATAAATAATAAATTACAGAAAATCAGCAACTGATTTAGATTAAATATACTGGGGAAAATTTTAATGGAAGGTTCTAGGAACCAAAATAAGACGAAAATCAAGAATACCAATTTGTTGATGGAGGCTTCGTTAAAAAGTTATTAACAATTAAATTCAACAATTTCAAATCGTTCTGGAAAAATTATTTTCGGTTGCGGGGGTCAATTACAATCATTTTTGGTCATTACACATATCCCCGAAATCTTACTCACTTTCGAGAAAAAAAATCGAATAGGTGGACGAATTTTTCGAAAAATTAAAAACTTCCACATCGTTTTAAAAAAATTATTTTCAGTTGCGGGGGTAAATTACAACCATTTTTGGTCATTACACATATCCCTGAAATCCTACCCACTTTCTAGAAAAAAATTCGAGAAGTTGGGAAATTTTTCGACGGAAAATAAAAATTCAAAATCGTTTTGGAAAAATTATATTCGGTTGTGGGGGTCAATTACAATCATTTTTGGTGAACAGACATATCCCCGAAATCTTGCGCATTTTGGAGAAAAAAATTCAGTAAGGGGTGGAACTTTAAACATTAATAACTTTTTAACAAAGCCTCCATCAACAAATTGGTATTCTTGATTTTCGTCTTATTTTGGCCTCTAGAATCCCTCATTAAAATTTTTCACAGGGCTGTATATACAATGCTTCTCTAGGAATTTGAAAATAACAATCACCCGATTTAGCGTTATCATTTCTCGATTTAAGACACTTTTAGCTTGGAAACAATCAATTTAAAAACAGCACAAAATAACAATTGTTTTGTTATTTAAATGTCCAAGGAATCTTGATTTCTGATAATGTGGTCATCGTAGTTGAAATTGTAAATATTATTATCTCTTGCTCAGACCTAAGACAGGTAATGGAAATGTTAATTGCGTTTCCCCTGGCTGGAGGTTGTCGCTAACAATTTCTTGACAGCGTAAAAATGGCGAACATTAGTTCCGCGTAAGAGGACAACGATACCTCTCAACGGCGGGAACAAGTTGATTAATCAAATCCGCAGGTCATCCAAGCAACCAATGCACGCAAACAGATCGCGTAACACTCTGTGCGCCAAAAGGGGTGTGAAGAAAATTAACATAGTCGCTTAGAAGTATTAATATTCCACGCGAGCTGCGCGTCGAACAATTTTCTATCGCTGTATCAACGTTTTGCAGCTGTTAAAATAAGTGGTCTTAAGCTCGTCAACTATTTTAATGTTTTGTTTACACGTTGCAACTGTGCAAACTTACACGTGATCTTGTAAACAAATAAATTGAAATATTCACTTGCAACGATGAAAATTCCCTGTTGAAATCAGCCTGGAACAATTTTCGATTCGTTGTTCAGAAATAAACCAGTCGATTTATCGATCGACTATAAATATTTTACCAATCAAAGTGACAAAATTTCTGTCGATTTAGAAATATATTTTAACCCCTCAACGTTCTAATTAACACTAGAACTACAACACATTATTGACAATTATGGTGTTTTTATTTGTACCAAGGAAATTGAAACGATAGATACGCGAAGAAATATATGTATAATGCAATGGAAATAAGTGTTTATTCATTCTCTTATAGAAAATTAACCCAGACCTAACTCAGACTTGGTATAGAAAAAAATTATTGAATAATAAGAAAAAATTAATTAAAATTAAAATTCGGTAAATTTCCAAAAATTCAGTCGAGTAAATTTTTAATTTTTACAGGTTTTATATGAAATTACAAATGGGTCATTTCGACTGGTTTGGTAGTTTCAGTGTTAATAACGAGGCTACGAATGAAAATTTCGAAGTTGGGAATAAAAACGCTGAGACAGCGGAATTATCGTGGAGGATATTCCAAGTCAGCGTGCGTGAAATTAAGAGAAGAATCTCCATGGAAGAATGATCCACCCGCGAAGATCATCGAGCATAAATCCTTTGGAACGATCTAAGGATCGCGGTGATTACCGTACGCCCCATTAATTCGTCACGATATGTCGGGCAGAAGACGCGTTTCGTCCCTGGCAATGCTAATTAGACGATGCGCCGGCGTAATTACGGTTTTCCATTTGTCCTTACCGTGGAAACGCGTTTCCTTTTTTTCCACCGTCGATCAACGTTTCGCAAACTTTTCCGACTATCGTTTCGACCAAACAATTTCCTTTTCAATTTTTCTCGCAAGAAATTAAAAGTTTTATTCTACCAGACTTTCGTGGAACAGGAAGAAATACCCTTAA